GGGCGCAGTGGCTCACGCCTGTAATCCCAGCACTTTGGGAGGCTGAGGCAGGCAGATCACGAGGTCAGGAGATGGAGACTATCCTGGCTAACACGGTGAAACCCTGTCTCTACTAAAAATGCCAAAAATTAGGCGGGCGTGGTGGCGGCGCCTGTAGTCCCAGCTACTCGAGAGGCTGAGGGAGGAGAATGGCGTGAACTCGGGAGGCGGCGCTTGCAGTGAGCTGAGATCGCGCCACTGCACTCCAGCCTGGGCGACAGGGTGAGGCTCCGTCTCAAAACAAACAAAAAAAATTATCGAAATCTCTAGCAACAATAGAAATAATGTCGCTACTGTCTGCCTCTTTTGCCTTACCCTTTGCACAAGCACCTCCTGGCAGGTAGGTACCCAGTCTTAGGAGCCCAGATATCTGCATGCAGCAAATGCTCCCCAGACAGGTCTTTTCCCGTCTCCTGCTAGGCTGGCTGTAGGGTTCAGGTCCCAACATGGATTTCCCAACAGCAACCTAAAGTGTGTACTTCTATCAGCAGTGAGAGAGAAATGAATTGTTCTCAAGGGCGTTTTTTTTAAGGACAGTTTTTCGGTGGGATCCTTGCTGCTTTGAACTCTTCTGGTGCTTCTGTTTTATAGTTATTGATTTTGGAAATCATAAAAGTAATGCAGGTTATAAGAATGTGGGAACATTTTAGAAATGTGTAACTTGGAGAGTAAGAGTGTCCATGGTTCACAAAAACCGCTGCCAGTGCCTGGCATAGATGCTTTCTTCTTGGTTGCTCCTTGGCGTTTTTGTCTCTTATCTCCAAAGAGGGGAGCCAGTGTCAGCTACTTGTCTAGCACCTGCTGGCGGCAGTGTTTGCTGTTACTTGACTTCAGTAGGGGGGGAGCCGCTTCAAGGGACATGTCTTCTGAGGGCAGCAGCAGTCCTCTGAGACACAGCAGGATGTAGTGGGGAAAGTTTGGGCGCTGCCATCTGGAACCTAAGAGAACTGGGGCTGATCCTCAGTCTTCCTCATCTGTGCAGTGGGCATACTGAGAACAACTCTGTTTTGGAGGGAGATTGGGACTAAACAGCGAGATCCTGGGTGGGAACACACTCTACACTCTAAATTCTATGTATTATCCTTTGATTTTGAAAAATTGTTATCACCAAATAGGCCCCTTGGGCTTCTGAGCCAGTAGACTCAAGATTTAGTCTGAAGGGTTAGAATTTTATTATCCTCATTATTTATACACACACACACCAGTCTGATAACAGGAGCTGCTGTGAGCTTTGCACATGGATGTGCGCAGGTCTTGCTGTGATCTCCTTCCGGGAGCATGGGCTCTGGAAGTGGCTGACACACGTGTCTAGGGCCCTCCAGATCCACTGCAAGAGCAGAGAGTAAACTAAAGCAGCATGAGCCACATGTCCCCACGGCCAGTCTGTGAACAGCATGGTTTGCTTTCCTCTTGGAAAATGGGGTGTCCCCCCTCCTGTCCGAGTGTGGTGTGAGTACTGATACCATCGGCCCCGCTCCCTTTCTCCCCACTGCATTGTCCTGCCTGGATGGCAGAGGGAACGCCTTTCTCTTGGGTCTTCAGGGTGTCAGAGATATGGGCACTGTGGAAGGCAGGGACAGGTGAAATTGGGTGTGTGAATGGAAGCTGGGGAGAGGTGTGCTCTGGCAGAAAGGGAGGCTGAAAAGAAGAGGCCCGGAACAGAACCCACCCATCCCCCAGCCCTCTGAAGCTGTGTTTCTCCCATGGCCGTGCCTTCAAATTCACTCTCTCCCAGGCCAGACCAGCTGCAGTGGCTGGACTGTCCCATGCCTCCGCCTCTCTCAGGTCCAGAGCCATCCAGCTCCTAACATGATACCGGGCCTAGGTGGCAGAGGAAGCAGCACTGCCTTGAGAGGAGCATGGGTCGGGGGACTTCTCTGGGACCAAGGGACCCAGCCTTGTCATGGTGCTTATTCTATTTCAAACCCTGTGCAGGTTTCTGCCCTGGCGTAGCCTGTGTGAAGGTGGGAGAGCAGAGGCCCCGGGAGCTGGGGTGTTGCTGTCAGATTTGCTTCTTCTCTTGGGACTCTACTCTCCAGGCTTTGGTTACCTGAGGGTTTTGGTTCTTCTCCTGCCTCTCTGACCCACCCTAGGGTTTCCTTCCTTCTGGAAAGGCAATGAGGCTCACCTGGTTTTTGGAGGCTGCCATCTGTGCTCCAGTCCCAGCTCTGCCTCTTCTTTGTAATGTGGAACAAGTTATTTAACCTCTTCCGTGCTGTAATTTCCCCATCTGTAAAGTGGCAATGGTGATAACAGTACCCACTTCATTAGGTTGATAATTAGTTCATAGATACAAGATGCTCAAATCAGCACCCAACGCTCTGAAGTGCTATCCTGTGTGTTAGCTGTTAATACTTTAGCCCCTCTGAAAGTAGTGCTGTTAGCTCCTCTCATGTTATCCACCCAGCACAGGTGCACACACGAGAATAATTTAGTCCTTTACCCCATCTTCATTTTCAGAGCGGTCCCATGCACTCGGAGGGCTCCAGCCATTACTAATTTCCGGAGGACTTTGATTTTCATATCCTAAAATGTTTTCTTCTTGTTGTAAAAGAAATGCCCACATATGGAATGAAAATTTTAAAGACATATCAATGAAAAGATAAAGAAATTTTAAAAATCACCGGGTAATACCTTTACCCAGAGATGATAACTAGATATTTTGATGTAGCCTTTCCCAGTTTTTATATATAAGTGTGGTGGGTGAATATAGCACCCAGTATAACCCCAGTTTGGCTTAAAAAGGGACAAATGCATGTAATACTGTTGTTGATATTCTGCTTTTGTCACCACATATTATCAACATTTCTCACTGTCCTTAAATATTATTTGAAAATGACCAAATTTCTGTCTTTAGATAGAAACTTCTTTTCCCAGATCAAAACTGCGTGTCTGTCTGCCCGTGGAGGTTGCCCCTTCAGCATCTCAGATGCGATGTGGCCAGGCCCCGGCACTGGGTCTCACGAGCTGCCCCCTCTGCATCTTCCCCATCCCTCGCCCCTCCCCCAAGTCTGCTGTTCCCTCCTTCGTCCCACAGCTCCTCCTCCCTGCCCCGCTCCCAGGATCTCTTAGTTGTGGGGTTCTGTAGTATCTCTGCAGTGTCTCCAGCGGTCATCCTCACTTTACGCATATCACCACAACTCTACTTCCTTTCCTCATCACCTCTCACTTTGACTCTGATGTTAGCATTACCTTTTTTCACATGCAATCCATATTTATTATAGAACATAATACCCGAACCTTCTCCCTGGCTTTCCTCGCTGCTGGCCTTGCTGGCTCTAGCCCGTTCTGCCATGCTTCTGCCCAAGGAAGCTTCCTGAGCACAGCCCATCCTGCCCTGTGACCTTCGATGTTAACTGCGTCCCCGCAGCTCTGCTGTGACCTGGCTGATGTACTACAGGTGCTTCCATCTGCCTGCCTGGGCACCTCTCCACTGTCTGCTGGACTATGTTCCAGCCAGGCTGTGACCTGATGGTGCACCTGTCTCAGCAGCTGTCTCAGGCTGCTGCCATCGCTCAGAACTCTGTCACCCCTTCCCCGCTTCTGGGAGTTCTGCCATCCTAAAGGTCCATCTCCAGTGTACATCCTCCTGGCAAGTTTCCTATCTCCAGATGGGCGTGCTTTTTCCAGCCCTCGAAGCACCTCCACTTGGCTTGTCCTTCCCTTGAGGTATTTCACCTACCCTAGTTATCTTTGGGCCTTGGATGGGCAGCTAGAAGAGCAAGGCTCTGGAGAGAGACAGACCTTGTTTGAGTCCCAGCTTAAACTACCTTCTATCTATATGACCTTGGGTAAGCTATGTCCTCTCTGAGACTCAAGTTTTCTCATCTGGAAAGTGGAAGCTGATACTATACCATGAATTAGGTTCAGTTTTGGGGAGGATTCAAAGGATAAAATGTCTAGGTTTAGCAGTTTCTGGAACATGATGAGAATTCAAAAGCAGCAGTGTAGGCTGGGCGTGGTGGCTCACACCTTTAATCCCAGCACTTTGGGAGGCTGAGGCGGGTGGATCACCTGAGGTCAGGAGTCCAGGATCACCCTGGCCAACATGGTGAAGCCCCATCTCTAGTAAAAATACAAAAATTAGCTGGGTATGGTGGTGGGCGCCTGTAGTCCCAGCAACTTAGGAGGCTGAGGCAGGAGAATCACTTGAACCTGGGAAGCGGAGGTTGCAGTGAGCTGAGATGACACCAGTGCACTCCAGCCTGGGTAACAAGAGCAAAACTGTCTCAAAAAAACCAAAAAGCAGCAGTTTCATAATTAGTACCCAGTCTTCCCGTGTCTGCCTCCTTGGGGTGTCCATGGAACCTAGCCTGTTCTTTGGTGATGCTAAAGACTGAGTCCAGGAGAACTGACTTGAACAGAACGTAGGTCTGAGACCCTTGACCTGGTGGGAGATGAGGGTCATTGATAGCCCTGGTTCCCTATGATTTGCAAGACAGTCCTGCTACCTTGGGTTTGACAACTGAGGTAACTCCCCAGTTATCTCTTCCTCTGGATTTCAGCTTATAAAGGCTCTTTTATGTCACCTGTTGGCATGGGAGAGGCCACTCCTGCAGGAAGCCAGGGTGCTTCTTTTGGAAGTTGGCCATCCCATGCCCGGGTCCTCAGGGGACATTATTTGAAAGGGAATTTTAGGGCAAATCTGACGAAGCTCGGGCAGCAGCTGAGAAACACACCAGATTCCCTTGACCCTTATCTGTCAAGGAAAGTCTGTTGGTGACCACCTAATATGTGGGGTAGGGTTGGTTATGGGCAGGATCTGGCATAAACAGGTAAAGTTGTAAGGGAAACATTTAGGTATCGCCAAATTCCTCCCTTGCATTGTAGCAGGGCTGCACCTAAGAGCTGCTCCTAAAGGTTGAGCCACCACCTTGTTCTTTTCCCCCATTTGGATTAGGAGCTTTTGAGCACCAGTACCCCCTCCCCAGTAACAGTCTTTGCTGATTCTTCTCTTGCAGCCAGGCGGCACTCCAGGGTCCGGCCCAAGGTGACTGTCCTGAACTATGCTTCCCCGATAACCGCAGTCAGCCGGCCACTGAATGAGATGGTCTTGACCCCACTGACGGAGCAGGAGGGGGAAGCCTACCTGGAGAAGTGTGGCAGCGTGCGGCGGCACACGGTGGCCAATGCCCACTCGGACATCCAGCTACTGGCCATGGCCACCATGATGCACTCAGGCCTGGGAGAGGAGGCTAGCAGTGAGGACAAGTGCCTTCTCCTGCCACCCAGCTTCCCCCCACCCCACCGGCAGTGCTCCAGCGAGCCCAACATCACCGATAGCCCTGACGGACTGGAGGAGGGGGCCGGGGGCAGCCAGGAGGGCTCAGAGCTGAACTGTGCTTCCCTCAGCTGAGTCGCCACCTCCAGGCCTTTCCACCTCCTGTTTTGCAACCAGGATGAGGACACCTCCATCTCCATGGATTACTGAGGGGCCTCTTGCTTTATGCAATGCTGCCTTATTTCTTTTAGGGTACTGTCCTGGTCAGAATGCCCTAAGGGGAAACCGTTGTTGTAAACCTCTTCATTTTGGTGACTGTGACCAGTTCTTTGTAGCCACCAATTGTAGTGATCAGTTGCCTCATGGTCACTTTCTGACTCCAGCCTTGCCAGCCTGACTCAGATCCTCATCTCTGGCCCTTTCCTCCTCTGATGTTGGACTGCCTAACGTTCCCAATGACATATCCAGTACTCCTGGCATTTCTGGAGCAGGAGGTTGTCAGGATCACACATACCACCACCAAGGATGTGTTGGCCTTTGGAGTTCCCCTTTAGGTTCCTTGTGATGCGGTGGGTTATAGGTGAAAAATTAGTGGAGAGGGAACTCCTCTCCCCCATTTTGTGTGGAGTGAAAATAGCCTGCAGCCCCTACTCAGCAGGGCTCTGGGAATGTGCCTGCCTTATTTTAGTTTCAGGATTGCTGGGAAAGTTACCCTCTGGTGGGTGAGGATCTGTCCTCACCTACATCCATATCCTATGTGCTGCTTGCACAGAGGCCTTTGGCTTTTGACCCAGAGGGGCTGTGAGGCTGGAGCTGCCCTGTCTTTCATTGAGCCTCAGCATTTCCCTCTTAGGCTTCCTCTCAAGCTCAAGGAACTCACCCCCAGATGCCTCTTGTCTCTCTCATTTCAGAAACGGACTTTCTTATCATGCTTTCCTGTGGTGGGTGTGAGGGGCCAACTGATACCAACCAACTAGCCTGTACCTGGATTTGACTTGAATTTTTAAAATGTGTGTTGTTTCAAAAAAAAAGTTTGCAAATTTTGCACGTGGGATCTTGCACTGTTCATTTCCACTGGGGTGAGTCTTCACACTAAAATTACAAGCTGAGCTCCTGGGAAAAGAGACTGGAAGTGGTTCAGGATAAAGAGATCTATGGTGCACACAGCTCTTATGTCACAGAGCTCTAGAAGCAGCTGGACTTGAATCCACAGTGGCCTGTGTAAATTTGTGAATTTCATGGTTTCTGGGAAAAGCTGCATTGGGGTGGGGAGACCCAGTTTGCCTCATGGGCAGAGGATTCTTCCAGGAAGCATGGAAAATGGAATGTTTCCATGCTTTACAGTGCAGGGAGAGAGCGGAGATGTAGGCAGGACCTTTTGGAAGGATGTTTATTCCCTGTGGTTAAAGAAATGCCCGGAATTTCTAACACGTGAAGCACTTGGGGGCTGCAGGCCATGGCACGGTGCTGCATCCTTCTACTGCTCCCTCCAGGTCTGGGGGCTTTTATCCACCTTGAATCCCTGTCCTCCTCTTTGTAGTTGTCTGTCTCACTGATAACAGCTCCAGGAAAAAAGACAAGGCTCCTCCTCTGACCCTTCCTGTTGATGTTTATGAAATCTCAAAGAGATGAGCCACCTTGGCTTCCAATATGGCAAGAGGGTGCTGGGAGAAGGTGAACATCAGTCTAAGCTGCCATGGGGATGAGACCTTCTCATTTAACTCTTGATGGCATTTCCCTTCTGGGTGAAGATTTGAAATACGATCAGAATTGTGCTCTTGATGGCTGGGAATTTAGAAATGTAAGAGTTATTTCATTTTCATTCTAAGAATGATGGGAGAGAAATGTCCAAAAGAGATCTGCCGATCAGCTGAGAATTTCAAACAAAAAAAATCATCTCTGTGTATGTGTTGGATAAAGTCTACAGACTGACTAACATGCATTAGCAAATGGAACATCAGTAGGTAGCAACATGATGATTTATGTAACTGATAGCTTCTGTCCTTATTAGTACACTTAACATTTGAGACTAGTATTTATTGATCCAGGCAAATTAATTAATCATGCTTGGGCTTACTTTTTCAGTTTGTAAGGTTAATCACATGTGCATGCGTGCGTGTGTATATAAATACCTTTTCCATGTCTTAAATGTCCCTGATGAGGAGAGCAGTCATCAATTAAATATATAAGCTCTTAAAATGAGAATGGGAGTGTCAGTATAGACCCAGTATACTTAATTGCTGATGACTGTTAGCCAGTTTACAACTTTACCATCGATGTACACACTTGATATTTGTGCAGTAAATAGACTGTACCTATAAAAATTTTATTGTTTATGATCATGTTAGCTATCAGAGGGCTATTGGAAGAGTGATAGCTGAGGTGTTTTTAACCATTTTTTCTCTCCTAGATTCGTTTTCATTATTTATGCTAGGATTTTCCTATGGTTGACATTTGATGACAGGAAGCAATCATGATTCTTCGAGTGAGCTCACAGAAACCTTTCATGTTGTCTGTTTCCAAAACGAATTCAATAAACAACATTTTGTCCTTGCTGGGTGCCCCAAGGGTGTCTTGATTGAATTTGCAAGTATAGCAGTCAAAGTAGATCTTTTTTTTTTTTCCCTCAAATTAGATCTTGATGCATCCTTCCCTCAAACTCCCTGCCCCCACTTCTGCCTCCTCAGTCGTTGCCTCCACTCCACAGTCGGACAGCAGCCTTAGCTCAGCCAGTCTTCCCTGGGTTTTGTTTGCAATCCTGGACTGGATTGGCAACTCATTTCCTGGAGAAACAGATTGTGGAGCTAGAAAATACTGAAAAAAGTCTGAGAAGTCAACACTTTTTCTAAAACCAGCTTGGCCTTTCTTCCCAGAGTATTTGACCCAGAGGGAACACTTAGCATATGTACTCATGGATGATCTCATATATTCCCCTCTGATTCTGTTTGGCAGAGGACATTTATAATATTTTACTCTGCATAAATACTTCTAGGAGCCTATAGCGGCAACAGTCTGAGATCTCTAAAGGCTTGATAAGAGCCTTTGGAGAGGTGTGACTGATTAGTCATCTGTAGGATGAAAAAGGAGAGTGTATATGTTTCGGTTGAGCCTTTGCAGGTCATAACTATGGTAAACAACCACTGAGCATTCTGTCTCAATAGGTTTCATGTCATTAGTGTGTCCATGACATAGCAGTGCACCATCATATTCATTCATCCACCCCATCTACCCATCAAACATTTGTGGAGCTTCCATTGTGTGTAGGCACTTTTCTTGGTACTAGGGATATGGTGACGGACAAATAACCAAGATGCCTTCTCTCATGGAGCTTACTCTAGTGGGGAAGGCTGGAAATCAGGTCAACACAAGCATCACAACTACCGAACAACACTGGGTGAAATGGCAAGGTGCCAGTGACTGGAGAGTGAAGAAAGGATGACTGTGGGTAGAATGGCCAAAGGAAGTCTCTTTCCAAGTCAACTGACCCAAGAGCTGAGTGACAAGGAGCCAGCCTTATGATCTGCTTTGTTTCCGATCACTGCCATAACTACCACAGACTTAGCAGCTCAAAACAACTTATTTATTATTACGTTTTGTCAGTTGGAAGTCTGACAAGGGTCTCACTGGGCTGAAATCAAGGTGGTGTCAGGGCTGCATTCCTTTCTGGAAGCTTTAAGGGATAATCTGTTTCCTTACCTCTGCCAGCTTTTAGAGGCTGCCCATATTCGTTGGCTTGTGGCTTTCTTCCTCCATCTTCAAAGCCAGCAGTGAATGGTGGTTGAGTCCCTTTCACATGGCATCACTCCAAACTACATTCAGCCTCCCTAGGACCCTTGTTGATTACATTGAGCCCATCCAGATAATCCAGGATTATTTCCCAACTCAAAGTCTTTAATCACATCTGCAAAGTCTCTTTTGCCTTGTAGGATACATTGCAGGTACTGTGGATTAGGATGTAGACATCCTTGATGGGGGTGGGGGAGTCATTATTCTGCCCCACAGAATGATGATTACCACATAATCCTTAGTTTTTGCTGCTTCTACTGATTACTCTTTGTAGGTGCCAAGCTCCTGAAAGACCAGCTTAGCTACTCAGGAGACTCCTTGTCTTCTGGCCCAGTGGAATCCGATGGGAAAAGAGAAGGAAAGCAAGATGGACAAAAAGTGTCCACCCCAGGGGCTCACCCTGCCTTCATGCTAAGGAGCAGTGGTAAGTTGGCTGAAGCTCTTCTGAAAGTTCTTAAATGGCCTTGAGCCCCTCAGCTGGCCAGAGATGCACTGGTGTCCTCCCTGGCATGCTTGCTGTTGTCTCCATCCCTTCTCAGCTGGACTGAAGATTTCTGTGGGTACTGCTCTGCTGCCGCCTCTGCTGAAATCTCTCTCCCAGCAGGAGAAAGGCCAGTCATGGGATGTACCTGGGAGCCTGGTAAGATGAAACTGCAGCATACCAAGTGCTGGTCTCAGTGTACAGGGGAGACTAGGTGACATGGCCTGGGGACCTTATAGCCTGACCTCCACCCACCATGGCCTAGACTCCCACAGAGACCACGATTCTGTAGTCCCAGGCTCCAGTCTCTAATTGCCTCATTGCCTTCTGTCAGGCCCTCACCATCCCTAGTCTGGACTTGCACAACTTGGTACTTTCTTTCTGTATTTGTGTACAGACTCCATCTCTACCTTATGGACATTCCCGTTTGATCTAAGGTGCAACCCCTGCTTAAAACTTTTCCTTGGCTTTCAATATAATCCATACACCTGAACTTGACTTCAAGGTCCTTCACAAGCCGGCCCCACCTACCTTCCCGGCCTCATTGGCTGCTCTTTGACTCACTCGAGTTGGAGACCAACTGCTTCACCAGGGCTGTTCATGGTCCCAGGAAGCTGCCTTCCATCTCCATACCCCCTGCCATGCTCCCACTGTTCCCTCTCCCTGGGGGCCCTCCCCACCGCTTCTCCAGATAGAAGCAGTCACTTCAACCTCTATACATTCTCAGGGGCTTAATTCAGGAAGGCAAGAATGTGTAGGATTTATATTTGCAGGCTTAGGGCCTCACAATACAGAGAAGCTTCTAAGTCATGTGCATTGAATAAATGAACGGGATGGTATAATTCTGATCTCCACCCCGCCCCTCCCGGGTATGTGCAGAAAGGATGCCACCTCTCTCCTTTTTCTCCAGGTAGGGATCTTCCCCATGCAGCTCTCTCCAAGCATGTTCCAACTGAGGCTGTGTGTCCAGGTGACCCAGTGAACACAGGTGGCAGTCTGAGCCCTTCTTGCAACGCCTCCCCTTTGCTCCAGCCAGTGTCTGCCACTTCCCTGCAGAGAGCTAACCCTGTTCACGGGGCTGATGCTTTGCTCCAGAGCCAGCTCTTTCTCTTGGCCTGTCCTCTTTCTGTCTGTGGTAAGAGATTGCTTTGGGACCTGGCAATCCTGAGGACAGTGAGAGCACCTGTTGTTTGCCATAGGGCCATCTCTTTGAAGAAGCTGTCCTGCCAAGAAGAGGGAGTGTCCCAGGCCAGTGAGCTCAGGCAAGAGCCTCCTTGCCCCAACTCTCTCTGCATTCAGGAATCCAGCATGAGGGCTGAGTACTATGCTGTTCCTCACAACAACCTTGCAAGGCAGGTATCACCCCCATTCTGCAGATGAGTAAACTGAGCCTTGGGTCTTTTAAGCAATGGAGCTGGGACTTGACCCCAGGTTTACCACAAGTCCAGTGGTCATCCCCTTCTATTCTAGGAGCTACCCTAGCCTGATAGAAAATGAAGAATAACTAAGCCAGGGACATAATCTCCTCAGCTTGCTACAAGGTAAGAGATGTTCCGGGGTTTCTAGAAAAGCTGAGGAACAAAGCTGCATCTCTTGCTTTTCTGCAACCATTTCTAGAAAACCTCATGGCATAGGGAGTGGGGGTGGGGGACTCTGGTATCCTGGACGGTAAATTTCCTATGTAGAAAAGATTTTGGGGCTTTTTAAAAAAACATGTTAAAATTTGTCTTTGAAAAGTAATAATTTAATGTTTATATTTAATTTAATACATAACATAATTTTGTCTTTAGAATCAATGTTCCATTTCAGATGCAAAGTTTAAACATTTTTTATGCTTTTAAATTCAGCTTACAAATTTTATTCTATTTTATAAGTCTAGCAGTTCATGGCAGTAACTTTGGAGGAGGGTTTGAATAATGTTTGCTCTTATTTACAAGCATAGCTCAGCACTTCAAACATTTTTAAACAAATTTAGAAATTTAATATGTTTATTTTTTAACTACTTTGGTTTTTCTGACCACAAGCAAAATCATCCCAAATTTTAAACTCTTGTAGAAGCTAATAAATTTAACTTAAAAGAGAAATCTAAGTCCTCTTCAATGTTTTTATACTCTACTTAAACTTAGATGTCACCATTAAAAAAATCACAAGTCTAAATTAATTCTCAATTATACATTTTAAAGTGGAGTTGTAAAACTGCACTTAATGGGCTTTATTCTCTTAAATATCACATTCTGAAACACCAAATAGGCACATATTCCTTCCTAACATAAAATATTAATGCTATAATTTTGTTTCTTTTAAATATTTCTACCCTTAAATCTAAACCTCCCTGAAGTGTTGGTGAGCTATTGTCTCTCAGTTTCGAGCCTCTTCCTTTTTTTTGTGTTGCTGTGGCTGGGATTCTGCAAACCACCTTGCTGCTTTGTCAGCTGGGTCCCTGGTAGGTTCTGCTAATGGAGGGCGCTAGAGGGAGCCTGGGGTACTGGTGGAAGGAGAAGAATTGGACTCATCCTGTTTTTGTCCACATTACCTGACACAGACAGCTGGGTCCAGCAGCAGTGTTGAGTTACTGTTTGCAGTTTATCCACATTCCCAGAGCCAGCCTCAACATCTCCCCTTAGAGATGCAAGCACTGTCCAGCCTGGGATCCCTCCTCAGAATTCTGAAGCCCTCTGGGGCCCCTCCTCTAACTTTTTAAATTTCAATAACCCCTAACACTCTTTTTGTTTCCCCAGTTCTAAGGGTGGAAGTTACTTCTTGTAGTTACCACCTCTGTCATTCCTCTGGGTCCCCTCTTTGCCATTTTATTTGTCCAATTTCTGATTAATAATTCATATATTAAATTCTCTCTGTTAAAATAATTGATGCGGCCTTTGTCCTCTGACTAGCCCTGACTGATGAACCAGGGTTGAAAAAATACCCACTAAAGAAGATAATAACCATTCCAGGTAACCAAGGCAAATCGCTACCAGAAATTTCCTTTGGGTGTGAGACCCAGATCTGCAGACATTGAGTGGATTCTTCTCCCCACACCTAAGAAAACCATATCACTTCCAGTAATTTTGGTGGTTGCTTCTCAGCATTCTTGAGTTTATAGGTGGAGCATACTCGATTCTTGTCTGAGTCCCTAAGAGACACTGGGTCCCATTTGTGGTTGCTTTAGTCAATGACTTCATAGCTTAAAAGAAGTGACCTCGGGGCCCTTGTTCCTGTATCGTACAATTGCCTAGTTCTTCAGTTATCTTCAGCAGATGTGTTTCTTACTAAGTCACTCATTAGATTGGC